AAAAATGGAGTAAATATTAAGGATATGCCATATTCTCATTAAAAAAAGTCACATATCCTTAATACATTTTTGTTTTGGAGTACTTCAAATTTCTCCTACTTTAAAAATTAATTCCTTTCCATAGCTTTAAGGAATAAAGTTAGGTCATTTATCTTTTAAGAACTGTAAGCAGAGAACTGTCCTCTGAACACTGGCTTGTCTCATAAAGAAATCATCTAATAATCAAAGCAGAACTTTCTGCAAACCGACAGGGGTTGCTGACCTGACCATCATAGGCGGTTGCGCTCACTCACTGCCCTTTGGTATCCTCCCGGTGACATCATTTTGAAGAACTTTCTGTGACACAAATGCAAATCAACTATATCCACATTTGCTATTAGACTCCACATTGAAGTAACAAACCTAAAACATCTTTAAAATGGCTAAGAAACGATTTTTAAAAACTCTCCAGGGCCAACAATTGAACAGTGTTTCTCCCCCAGACCTGACTGAGCCTGGCCAGTGATGCTGGTGTGTCCCTCACCCAGTTAGAGGCCCTTCTGAGATCACCCGCGTGCCTGCCTCAGTCCAATGAGTCAGTTCATCACATCAGTTTATTTTAAACCTAGCTCCAACTGCCAAGCTGTATTTAAAAACTTTCAAATTAAAAAAAAAAACAAAACTACTATACATTTTTGTTTTGTTTTGTATCTTAAGTTCCACCGAAACAAAGATCAGTTCATGATGGCTCCTAGGCCTAAATGTATAAGCTAAAACCGTAACAACTTTTAGACTGACACGTAAGAGAGTATCTCCATCACTTGGGGGTTAGGCAAAAGTTTCTCAGGACACAGCAAAAATCATAAAAGAGAAAAATGGATAAATCAGACTTTACCAAAATTAAAAATTTCTACTCATCAAAAGGCATTAAAATAGGCAAGGGGCGCCTGGGTGGCTCAGTCGGTTAAGCATCTGCCTTCAGCTCAGGTCATGATCCCAGGTCCTGGGATCGAGCCCCGAGTTGGGCTCCCTGCTCAGTGGGGAGTCTGCTTCTCCCTCTGCCTCTGCCCCTCCCCGAGCTCATGGGCATGCGTGCACGCTCAATCTCTCTCAAATAAATAAAATCTTAAAAAAATAAATGAATAAAATAAAAAATAATGAAACGGTTATCAAGGCCTGAATAAAATTAATATCCATGCCCAAAATGAAACATCTGATTCCTAAAAGGTAAGTGTCTAGGAAATCCCTTTCTGGTTTTATCTATTTTCATATGCAGAGCTATAAAGGGATACACACGCTTTGGGCTAAATAAAAATTTAAGATGTAGGTTACCTATTAATTGGGCAGAAGTCGTCTTTGCAAATTGAGATTCCTTCAGGTCCAACCCCAATGAGGAGTTTCTGCCCCTCGCTGTCCCTCACGGAATGCCACTCTATGCCATAGTTTTCCATTGCCGACACAGTCTGCAACACCTGGTATTCGGCCGAGGCCTGGCTGGTCCCCTCCAACTCTTTATGCTTTGCAACAATGCTGTTGGACACCAGAAGGGCAGAGAGGCATGGAGAGATTAACTGATGTGGTCTTTAGAGAGAAATTGGTATCATTTTCACTACTGAATCATGCAGATGCTGCCATTTATGTATCTCAAAAACTTAAAGCAATATAGCATTGATATTTCATTTATTTAGCAAATTGACTGTAAAATACTTCTAAGACACCATTTCGATCTCAAGTATTAAATGTTCAGTAGAAAAAGCAAGTGGGGATGCCGGATAGGGGTGAATTGGAAGAATTACGGAAAATCTCTAAAATATACATAAGAAATTTTGTATGTAGGAACTTCTCACGCAGGTATCTATACTTACTTTCTAAGTTTCATTATGATATAGCATTATAAGGGACTGATTAGATCACCTGCAACTGAAAAATGCAGGATTTATTTTATTGTTGTTGCAGACAGCCTCTAACACAGTCCTTCAAGATCCCCACCTCCTGATAGTCACACCCTTGTACAATTCCCTTCACCTGAGCGTTGAGTCCCTGCTGTGTTAATGACTGGCAGGATTCGTAACTCGCTTCTAATGCACAGAATAAAGCAGAAGTGATGGGATGTCACTTCTGAGATTACGTTCTAAAAGGACCTGACTTCTGTCTTGGGTGTTCCCTCTTGCTCTAACTGACGGCTTGCCCTAGGGGCAGCCAGCACATTATGAAACAGCCCCCTTGAGAGGCCTGTGTGGTGAGAGAACAAGGCCCTGCCAACATGCCACGTGAGTCAACCTGGAAGGGGATCCCTCCTTCGACTGAGCCTTCAGATGACACTGAACTCCACCAACAGCTTGCCTCATGAAAGATCTTGGAGAACCCAGCCAAGCAACAGCCAGATTCCCGACCCCCAGCAGGGAGAGACGCTGTTTGTTGCTGTAAGCCACTAAGTTTGGCGGTAACTTATTCTCCAGGAATAGGTAACTAAGACACCTACGTTAGGTCTCTTGGTTTAATCCTTGCTGGGATGAAGAAAATACCAACATATATGATAGACTTTTTTT